GAGGGGGGTGACTGTAGGACCGAGAGTTTGACTTCAATGGCTGCTTCTCAATGTGACCTTTTTGTTACTCTCCGGCAGGTGATCTCCGAACCGCTCTTACTTAGGTCTGGCGCATTTGCGAATACAGTGTCCTGTATGTAGCACACGTAGACAAGGTGATTAGCTTTGTCCTCCCCTGCATTCCCACTCACCGTCGGTAGTCTTGTCAAAGAAGCAGGATGGCTAAGGAAAAAGACACAGTGTGGTCTGTGCCGCGCAAGCCCGCTTCACTCTGAACTAATTAACATCGCCACCACCTCCACTTTTATCCTTGTTCCTTTCAATAATCACTATCACTCTCTACCCCAGCAAGTTTTCAAAACATGACCTCCCCAACTGCCGCTGCAGTCGTTTCCTCTCTACCTATCATGCATTGCTATTACACATCCTCTCTAGCATCTTGCATTTAAACCGTTTGATTTGAATTAGTACGACTGCAGGCTACTTTTATGCAAAATTCCCGTCTTTCCTTCTAGGTTTCCTCCGACCCAGTGGCTTTAGCGACTTCTACCTCTGCTCCAAGTCTCTGGCCCCCTCGGGCAGCACCTGTGGCCTCTACAACAACAACACTCCCTCTCCACTGGAGCTGGCCTACTGGCGGTGGGTAAAAGCGTTGGCCTTCCACTGCAGAAACACCAGTCAGGACTCCGACCTCGACGCTGATCCGGATCGTCGACGCTCGGAAATCCGGTGTTTCCGCACTCTGGAAGTGAAGGTGGGCTGTCTCGATCATTGCGTCTCCCACTCCTCCCTCCAAATCCCATAGTACAAAGACTCATTGTCACTTTTGTCATTGATTAGCTGCTTTAAATGCGGCATATCTCGGAGCCGGTCACATTCCCGGCAAAGGAAATGACTTTCACTCGCCCTAGTGTGACGAGCTAGCAATAGGCCCTTGAAATATGGAAGGAAGGGTTATGCACACAAGGGGAGGGTATAAACACTACTAAGTCGCTTCAGCGCGATCAATCACTGTAAGGAACAAGTAAAGAGGACGGCCACAC